GTTTTACAATCATTAAAAGAACAATTTCTATGAAACTGGTTTCATTAAAATTTAAAAATCCTTAGATATTAAAAAGATGTTTTAGCAGATGTTTTAAAGTTCACATTATTTTACTCAAATATTTTTCACTGAATTTTTTTAACTCAAATTTATCTGAAACACTCAGAATAATCCTGTTAGTTCTTTTTTAACTCATTTGAACAGAAGTGTTGGTCAAACAGACACTAAATCCTCTCTTTGCGATTGTTATTCTCACAAATAAATGTTTAAATTAAGATAAATATACAAAAACATTTTATGTATGTGAAACATAGACTTCATGCATGTTTTATAAAATAAAAAAAACATTTGAAATCACAGCTGTGGGACTGAGACGTGAAATTTGTGTAAGTGAATAAAATCTGATTGTTTTGAACAGAACCGTTTGTTACCGACTGAGGAGCCTTTTGAAGGTTTTAATAATGAAAGTGATGATGCTCAGTGATAAAATCCTTCAGTTTGAAAAACAAAAACAGAACGCTGCGATCCTGAAAATCAGCTGGTATGAACCGAGTAACGCTCCACACTGAAGAAACTCTAAAAACAAACAAACAAACAAACAAACAAACCTTTCACATGTTAACGTCAGAGTTCGGCCTTCCTTGTCCAGCATCACCATGGCACCGTCTCCTCCAGAGCAGCCATTTTGAACTGTTTTTGGTCCAACTTGGTGGGAAGTCATGCCCTCACCGCTGCCTGTGCTGCAGTCTGAGGGCCCGAGGGTTCACACCTGCCCAGAAACCCACCCCCAGGACTTTTTTTTGGGAGGATGTGAGAACCACAGCATCACCCCTGCCCCCCCAACCACCTCCTCTCTTTGTCTTCGTTCATGCAGACGGCGACCTCTTTGTTGATGCTCCAGCGGCGGCCATCTTGTCTCATTAAACTGCAGAAAAACTCAGTGTGTGTGTGTGTGTGTGTGTGTGTGTGTGTGTGTGTGTGTGTGTGTGTGTGTGTGTGTGTGATGCAGGGGGTTGCGTGCAGAAGCATCATCTATTGTTTGGATCAGTTCCGTTTCATTAGCCGTCCGTTGGTGGTCAGATAATTAAAAGTTTGGCAGAGAGCCACGACTCGACAGGAGCCGAGTCTGTGGATGAAACCATCAGAGTGACGTTTTTTACTCTTTTATTCCAGGATTATATCTTACAAAACATTACAAAAACAGCAAAAAACTCCTTTTCCCATATAAAACTCTTTATATGTACCTTACTTTGAAATATGGTCAGTTTGTAAACAATTTCTCTCTTTCTTTTTGCTAAACGTGTTTGTTTTATGACAAACTTTGCTTTGTTTGGTGTCATGGAATTCAATTTTAATTTAATGAGATTTCAAACTGGGAAAACTATATATTTATAAACTTTTTTAAAGTAGTAGTCTCAAGTAGGAAGTGGTCAATAGAGGGCAGGCTTGGAGCATCTTAAACTACAGTCCAAAGTCAGAGGATAAAATCTGATTCTGAAACATTTCTGAACCAAACTCCACAGTTCAGCATCTTTTTAAAATTTATTTATTCATATTTGAGTTGCTTAACAGTTTTTCCTTTTTTTAAACAATATTTTTATTGAAATTTTCACATTTTTACATACACCCCGTATAACACAATCAACAACAACAACAACAACCGCCCTCTTTAGGTACAAATCTGCAAACATCTTAAATGTACAGATAACAGTTTAATGAAGAGACACTGTTGCTTCTTGTCAAACTATTCCATTCATTCCTGTCCTTAGATGATCTTTTCCTCTTGAGACAAGTCTACACCATCCACAAATGACCAAAAGTGTCTCCATATGTGTTCAAAAGACTCACTTTTCCCTTTTAGAAGACATGTTATGAGTTCCAGGGGTAAAATCTTCAACATTTGGTCCATTGCTTGATGCTGTCAATCATCTTTACTCTCCAAATATTTAGGATTTACTTTTGTAATCATCTAAATTATAAAAATCTTTTTTTTAAGTTTAAAAGGTGTATGAGAACCAAAATCAGAAAAATAAAAGAGTAAAGCTTCATTCAGTGGCTCATTAGGGTCACCGTGGTGACCTGCTGTCACTCCCTGCAGCAAGCTGTAATAAGACAAACAGAGAAACACACAGCAGATTTAAGCATCAAGCTGTTGCTGTGTGAAAACTTTGAGCTGTGTTGACAAAATGAACTTTGCTGACACGTATTAGACCCGTCTGGACGTCACAGTTATTTTTTAACATGAACTTATTTCTTTTGGAAGAACCTTCAGCTGCACCGGAAGTGCTGTCACTATTTGTGCTTAAAGAAGCAGAGATGTTATTTCTAACCTGCAGACGTGGAACTAAACACTGAACAGTAAAACTGAACCGTATGTGAAGCTGGAGGATGAAACATTAGTTTCCACACAGAAGGATCAGAGGATTAATCTTGAACGAACATGTTTGGTGAGGTGAAAGATAAACTGAACTGATGTAACTCATTAAACAGTTTCTTTAAAGGGGGCATGAAAAATCCACTTGTTAAATACATTTTGTTGTGTACATGGAGTTTTTAGAAGTGCAGCATAGTTAGTCTCTACTTGTGCTGAATAGATTTCTTTGTATTATGTTTGGGTTATATTTTCAACCTGTTCAGTTTTCTCTATTTCCTATATGATTTTTTCTGAGCTATTAAGCCACAGTAGTTGTGAGGGAACTGCCTGGACTAAACAACCACAATAATGTCTTCATTCTCCTCTGGCTCTGGGTCAGACTCTGGCTCCAACATGTGAGGCTGGATGGACAAGACTTCACTTGTTGACATCTTTTAATTAATGTGTAAAGTAAAATATTTCTGCACCGCTATGATGTCGTAAACCCCTCTATTAAACTGGAGTGGACCGATCTGGAAGCTGAAGTGGGCGGGGCGTGAAGCATATCATTTGAATTTAAAGAGGCAGCCTCAAAACGAGTTTATCCGAGCCACAACTCAGAAAAGGGATAAAACAGGGACTTGTGACGTCACAATAAGGACAACTTCAGACCAAAGCATTGCAGTTCCACGTTATATAGACCACAAATGAATAAGTGAAATGTGAAAAAGGATTTAAAAACATGATATAGCTAGTTTAAAGAATGCGTAAGGACAGCTTTTATGCAACTCTGTTTGTATTTCTGAGTGTCAGTTCATCTGCACGGCTCAAACAGGCGGTGGAGGTAACACAATCAACTTTAACGTCACCACAAGTATGTGTGAAGAGGAACACATCAGAGTGCGCTTATTAAAGGAGTGAAGCTAGCATGACTCACTGACTAATGACTGGCTAATGAAAGTACATCTATGGTTTACCAGCTGTTCAGTTGTCAGACCTGACCCCCCCCCCCCCCCCCCCCACACACACACACACACACAC